GACTACAAGGGCGACAAAGCTCTCCCTCAAGAGCAAAAGATATTTATATTAATCATGATATTTTATAATATATATTTTATTCATTTTTTATTTCTCTATGTTCTTAATTAATGATATTTTACTTGTGTCGTATTCACCACTAGAGATGTGACTATTTTTCTCCATTTCTTTGACAATTTCTTTATATATATTTCTCGGAGGTGCTGAGCCTAATTGACAAGCTCGCATATTTCGGGATCCTAGGTGTCAGAATTTCATGCTTCGTTATTTGACTTGGATAGATTTTAATTTAATTCCAATCCAAAAATTAGGTTCAGATTATCATAAATATGTTGATTATTTATGATCATTTTAAATGCATTAATTATATCTTAATATTATTTTCTATTATAACCATTGAATTATAAATGTATTTTAAAAGTTTATAACTTTCGTATTTCTTATCGATTTTACATGTATAACGAGTGCGGTACCCGTGTGATGCACGAGCTAATTTTATTAAGGTAAGCATTTATATTTGGTTGTTTGGAATAACGTAAAAATTATGTATTGGAATAAAACAAAATGTAACTTATATATTATTAAACATAAAACAACCTACCTCTGTGACACCTATATATATTAGGATTATAAATAGACTTAAATAAATCAATTAAATTATTTAGCATGATATATATGACATGATTTATATTGGTTTTATGAAGACTGCATAGTCAAATATAATGAAAATTGTAAAACGTCTTTCTTGATAATCTATAGTCTTATTATTTTAAATCTTGTTCAGAGCTCGTGCGATGCATGGGGTGCACAATTTTAAGGTTATTTATCCACCCTTATAATTATATAAATGAATAAAAAAAGTACGGGATATATATAGTACGGAACCTGTGCGAGACACGAGATATATTTATTTGGGGAATATTATATTAAAAAATGCAATATTCAATAAAAGTTTTATAATGCGCAGGAAAATTATACAATAAAATAGTATTCGACAAATAAACAATCATATATTATTAAAGACCTCCTTGTATATATGTTATACCACAAATACCCGAACCGCTGGACCGCTCCTCTCGAACCGGGTTGCGTCTCCTTGATCGTCGGTACCTGCAAAACACGCCGGGGGTGGTCCCGGCGCGAACACTCCGACGCTCAAGTCAGTGATGGTCTAGAGAGAAAACGGCAGAGTAACGAGATAGTTTGTGAAATGTGTGTCGTGTAAAATGAAAGAACCTGCTCCCTTTTATAGGAAAAATAGGGAGAGTCCTAGTGGGATAAGAAGTCTTCTTCATATCAAACTCTCCATTAGGTTGAAAGGTCTTCTGAATCCCGAGAGTCCTAGTCGCTACCAACTCCTCCGTAACTTGATCCCGAAGCCACCTTCAAGTTCTAGCTCCTTCGACGGCATACGAGGGTCGCCGAACACACGAAGACCGCCGATCGCACGAGGGCTGCCGAGCACCTCCCAAGGCCGAGCACCCGCTGGGGGCCTCGCGCCGAGCACTTGCCCACGCCGGGCACTCGCCATACCGGACGATGCCGCGCCAGACACTCCATCCCGACCATCTTCAAAGCCGAACGCTTGAGGGACGCCGAACACCATGCGACGCCGAGCACTCCCAACCACCCGACTTCCATAACGCTTAGCCGGTCCCCTCCATATTGTCACTGATGACCGGATCACAACCGGTTCCTTATGAACCACTACTATCGACCACATCAATATAGATATTAAATAATTTATTAGTAAAATAGTGTAAAAATTGATTACAATAACAAAACAACATGCTAATGAGATTAGTAAAAATACTCCATGGATTGAAGATAATGTGAGAAAACATTTAAATGAATTAATTTAAATAATTAATTTAAAAGACTTCCAACATTGTTTTGACTTTAATATATTACAGCATGGGTATACATTAAATATATTAATATTTGAGGAACTTTAAACAACATAGTTTTTAAAAAATTGTTTTAGAGAACTTTAAACAACATATTTACGTCACCCACAAAACAGATTATATTTCAACAACATATTTATAATATTATTTAAGGAACTTGAAACATCATTGTTAAATATTTACGTCCACCCATAAATTTTTTGTAAGTCGAAGGTAATTAATCTCTTGCTTTTTTTTTGTTTGTTTGTTCAATTTTTTTGACAAAACTGATGTCATGGATAAAACAATTACATATTAAATAAATTAATTAAATAATATGCTTTAGACAGATATAGAATGCGGATAATTCTCTCATACCAAACAACGCGATTCCAAAATTGACTCAGATCCAGTAATCCTATCCAATATTTCATTAAAATAAATATTAAAAAAAATACTTTAAACAGAAATTAGATAAAGAATTTTGAATCTGCCTTTTGTTTAGTGTAGATAGACTTTACGTACAATTTTTGACTTCACCAATTTTATGGGATTTGTTTTGACTAAGTCGATGTTATTATGGAATAAGACAAATAAATAAAGCATTTTTTATTTTAGTAAAGATTTTACGTACTTTTTATGACTTATGACATGTTATGAGATTTTTTTCTTTCTTAAACCGATTTTATGGGATATAAGACAAATAAATAAAATAATTAATATAATTCTGGATAGAAATAGCAATGTATTAATTATGTTGACTTTTCAACCTATTAAATTTGGCAAATAGGATACCTTATTATATAAGTATAGATTGTAAATTAGTTAATTTAAGGAAGTAAAAAATTGTCATATTTGTATTCTACAGGATTAAACAAAACCGTATTTTTAGGATGTTCCAATCTGATTTCATTTTGATTTCAAATTAATATTATCTAACTCTGTTTTATGTTTTTTAAAAAAATGCGAACTAAAGAGAGTAGTAGCCAAATGATATGAGATTTTTAAATTTTAATTATCAATTTGAAATTGGGCCGATTTCTATGCGATCGGATTTTTTTTAATAAACATGATATGTTGCAATTAAGTAAAGATATATTTTATAGTATTTTTCCTAATTCAAAATTCTCGATTTTATAGTAAACAATTTTTTTAATAAGAAATGAGCGAATTTTGACTTTTACAAAATTGTCATGCCGAATTTTACCCAAATAAACTCGATTTCTATGCAATCTAATTTTTTTTAATAAATAATTGATCTGTTGCAATTAGAAAAGATATATGCGATTGTATTTTGCCTAATTCGAAATTCCCGATTTTATGGTATCATTTTTTTTAATTAAAAAATTATAAAAAAATTTGATTTTCACAAAACTGTAAGCATCATTCGAAATTTACCTAAATCAAATCCACAAAACCCATAAATTTAGGGATCATATATATTTGCTCGAACTTGGGAATAATTTTAAAAAAATTAAAAAACTGCCAAAAATAAAATGCAATAAATGTTTGTTGATTTTTCTTGTTATTATTTTTATAAAGATGTTATCTCTTCATATATGTGTAGATATATCAAATTAATCATTTTTTGATAAACTTCGATTTGACTTCTAAATTGTATGTATAAAATAAAGAAATTATATTTATTTTTATAATAACAATAAAATTATTTATTAAAATTAATAAAAAATAAAATAATTTATCAATTAAGATATTTATGTTTAAAGTAGTTATATGTTATGAGTTAGAAAAATATTATAATATGCCACAGGTAAATCGATAAGTAACAAGTATCATACTAAAATATATAATAATACATATTTTTTTATGAAAAAATATTTAAATTTTAAATCACTTTTTCTCATTAATTTTAAATTTCTAAAAAATAATTTAACAACCACCCATATAATACACAAGTGTTGTACTAGTGAATTATTTAAAAGTAGATCTATATTAGAAACTTAATTAGTCCAAGCGTAACTAGGATGCATTTATTTAAATATGTCGAAAAAAATAAATTTTGATTTAGCCCAATCATTAATGAGAAATCAACACCTTAGACATTTAAAATTAATAATACTACTATAATAATAATAATAATAATAATAATAATAATAATAATAATAATAATAATAATAATAATAATAATAATGAAAGATGCTACAGTCCCGTTAGATCATCGTGCCGTCTGAATAGTTGATCTAACAGTTATAAATCTCGACGGAATAATTTCATAACAGAAGAATAACACTTCCTAATAATAATAATAATAATAATAATAATAATAATAATAATAATAATAACTCTAAAATGCAATCCAAATTTAAGGAAATGCTAGGTCCCATTAGGTCGGGTGTTTTAATACTCGACGAGATGGTACCGTAATGCTACCTTAGCATTTCCCCCAAATTTGCTTATAAATATTGCTGCTCACTAATCAATATTCTCCAATTCATTCATCGTCTTCCTCCGAAACCTGTCGCTGAAAAACTTCAGGCAAAAAAAGGAGAACCGAAAAGACCATAACAGAGTGAAAGCTTCACTAATTGATCATTGGAGGATATGTCTGTTGTCGTCTCTCGGCTCCATTTTTCACCGTTTAAAGACATGGGCGGCGATTTTTTCCTTAACCCAATTTTCCTGCGTTTTTTCACAGCTTCTCTCCACCTCATTTTGTTCGCTGTCCTATTCATTTCATGTCTCTGCAAAAAAAATCCAACCAACGCAGACGATGAAAACCCTAAAACTAATTCTGGGCAAGCAAGTCTTATGTACTACAAGACTGCCATGTTTTCAAGCTTGGGCCTTTCAATCTTTAATCTCATTCTCTGTCTACTGAACCTCTTTTACTGGTACAAAAATGGATGGTCTGATGAAAAGATCTCGACTTTATTCGATGTGGGAGTGAAAGCAGTAGCTTGGCTTGCTCTCTATCTTTACTTGCTAATCCATTGCTCAAAATCCAGGGAAGCCAAGTACCCACTTGCTCTGAGGCTCTGGTGGGGTCTTTTCTTCTTGGCATCTTGTTACTGCCTAGTGATAGACTTTGTTTATTTTGCAAGGCATTATTATTTATCATCCCTTTTTTGGGTCTCTGATATTGTTTCTTTCTTAATGGGTTTAATCTTCTGTTGCATTGGTTTCATTGTGAAAAATGAACAAGACAATTTTCTTCAAGAACCCCTTTTAAACAATCATGATGTTGATGATGCTGGCAATGGTGATATTGAGGAGTCTAGCAAGTCTTCTCAAGGGGATCAAATAGTGACCCCTTACTCTAAAGCTGGTTTCTTTAGCCTCTTCACTTTCTCTTGGATAAGCCCTTTAATTTCCCTAGGTTACAAGAAGAGGTTGGATCTCGAGGATGTCCCTCAGCTCGCATTTTTGGATACGGCTCGAGGGTCGTTCCCGATTTTAAATGCCAAGCTTGAGACTTATCGTGAGGGGAGCAACCGGGTCACCGCACTCATGCTGGCCAAGGCGCTGTTTTTCACCACGTGGAGGGAGATCACAGTGGCGGCCTTCTATGTGCTCGTGTACACCGTGGCCGCCTACGTGGGCCCGTTCCTGATCGAAACCTTCGTCCAGTACTTGAATGGGCGTAAGAGATTCGAGAAAGAGGGCTACGTTTTGGTTTCTGTGTTTTTCATAGCCAAGTTGTTCGAGAGTTTGGCACATAGGCATTGGTTTTTCAAGGTGCAGCAGGGCGGGTATAGGGCCCGAGCGGCTTTGGTCTCCAAAATCTACAACAAGGGCTTGACCCTCTCGAGCCAGTCGAGGCAAGGCCACACGACAGGCGAGATTATTAATTTCATGTCGGTTGATGCTGAGAGGATAGAGGAGTTTGGCTGGTACTTGCACGACCCATGGATGTTTGCTCTACAAGTGGCCCTGGCACTTGTGATACTGTATAGGGATGTCGGACTTGCCTCGATAGCGGCGTTTGTTGCCACTGTTTTGGTGATGTTGGTTAATATGCCTGTGGGGAAGTTAGAGAAGAAGTTTCAAGAAAATCTCATGAAATCCAAAGACGAGAGGATGAAAGCGACCTCCGAGGTTTTGAGAAACATGAGAATTCTCAAGTTCCAGGCTTGGGAGATGAAGTTCCTCTCCAAGATTCTTGATCTTAGGAGCGTCGAGATGGGTTGGTTGAGAAAGTATGTATATACTTCGGTCATTGTCACTTTTATCGCTTGGGGCGCCCCTACATTTGTGTCAGTTGTGACTTTTGTTGCTTGTATGCTAATGGGAATCCCGCTCGAGTCAGGTAAGATTTTATCTGCTTTAGCAACCTTTAGGATCCTTCAAGAGCCCATTTACGCTCTTCCTGATGTGATATCGGTAATGGTTCAAACCAATGTTTCTCTCGATCGCATTGCAACATTTCTTTCTCTAGACGACCTTCCATCAGATGTTGTGGATAAGATTCCATTTGGTAGTTCAGATACGGCTATTGAGGTCATCAACGGAAACTTTTCCTGGCAAGTGGCATCTCATGTTCCTACATTGAGAGATATTAATTTTAGAGTGTCCTGTGGCATGAGGGTTGCCATTTGTGGCATGGTTGGTTCTGGAAAGTCAAGCTTGATTTCGAGCGTATTGGGAGAAATGCCAAAAATATCTGGGGTTGTTCGGGTATCTGGATCAAAGGCATATGTAGCTCAATCGCCATGGATACAGAGTGGAAAGGTTGAGGAAAATATATTGTTTGGTAAAAAGATGGACAGGCAAAGGTACAATAGGGTGTTGGAGGCATGCTCGTTGAATAAGGACTTGGAAATTCTTCCATTTGGGGATCAAACTGTGATTGGTGAGAGAGGAATCAACTTGAGTGGCGGACAGAAACAGAGGATTCAAATCGCGCGTGCTCTCTATCAAGATGCCGACATTTATTTGTTTGATGATCCCTTCAGTGCTGTGGATGCACATACCGGAACTCATCTATTTAATGTAAGCACCACATCTTATATGATAATGTAGTACATATTTTTATGGAACCAGTTGATTTACGGGTTTTATCGTTTTCCATGCAGGAATGCATTATGGGGCTTCTTAGTTCCAAAACTGTAATATTTGTCTCTCATCAAATTGAGTTCCTGCCCGCCGTAGACCTGATTCTAGTGAGCATTTAATTTTGTAAATTATTATTGTCTCATTTCCAAGAAAACCAATAAACTTATTGTAGTTATGGTTTTCTTTCTAAAAAAATTTACCAGGTTATGAAAGATGGGATAATTAAACAAGCTGGCAAGTACAACGACATTCTCACATCCGACAGCAACTTCATGGAACTAGTTGGGGCCCACAAGGAGGCCCTATCAGCTCTCGATTCCATTAGTGGCAAAGAAGGGTCCTCTGGAGTTTCTAAATCAATTCTGCAAAAACAAAAATCTCAGAGCAATAAGAACGATCAAATAGAGAATGATGGGGAAGCAAAGGCCCAACTAGTCCAAGAAGAAGAGAGAGAGAAAGGAAATTTGGGACTCTCAGTATACTGGAAATATATCACAACAGCGTACGGAGGATTGTTGGCGCCAGTAGCATTGGTACTTCAAATCGTGTTTCAAGCACTTCAGATTGGGAGCAATTATTGGATGGCTTGGGCAACACCTGTGTCTAAGGACGTGCCACCTCATGTCACGAGCTTAACTCTCATCCTTGTTTATGCTGCTTTATCCATCGGGAGCTCGTTTTGCATTTTGGCCAGAGCCTTGGCCGTTGTCACTATTGGCTTCAAGACAGCCAATATACTATTCCGCAAAATGCACCTGTGCTTATTTCGTTCCCCCATGTCTTTCTTTGATTCCACCCCAAGCGGCCGAATTCTCAACAGAGTACGTGAAAATGTGCACTTGTTTGCTATTTTCTCGTAGCAATTTTTCTTCACTGTCTTTTTTTATTGATATTGTTGATAGTGGTTATCTCGGCGAGCATTTTGTTATAAATTATAACCCATTTTTTGTTTTCTTTTTTTTTTCTTTTGAAGGCATCTACAGATCAAAGCACTGTGGATTTGAGTGTAGCGTCTATAATTGGACAATTTGCTTTTGCCGTGATACGGCTTCTGGGAATTATTGTTGTAATGTCGCAGGTCACGTGGCAGGTCGTTATTATTTTTATTCCCGTGATTGCAATTTGCATGTGGTTGCAGGTAACATTTTTTGACCCTTCACGACCGGATGTTAGTTTTACGTCTTCATGGATTGATTGAAATGTTCTGATTTTGAACAACCATTTTTTTGTCTTGGGTTTTTATGTGTTTAAGTTTATCTATCATTCTAATTCTTATAGATTTTCATGCGCGGTTTCGTTGGTAAAATATTTCCTATAACAGCGGTATTACATAGCTTCAGCACGTGAACTTGCTCGACTATGTGGTGTATCAAAAGCTCCTGTTATACAGCATTTCTCAGAGACACTATCGGGATCAAGTACAATAAGGGGTTTCAATCAGGAGTCCCGATTTCGTGATTTGAGCATGAAACTAATAGATGCATATTCAAGGCCCAAGTTACACACGGCTGGGGCCATGGAATGGCTTTGCCTTCGGCTAGACATGTTATCCCTCTTGACATTCGCCTTCTCATTAATTTTGTTGATCTCTATACCAGAAGGAACAATTAATCCAAGTAAGTCTTTCCATTTGTTTTTTCCTATATGCACTCTCTCTTTCTATTATTCATCCTTTTGAAACTAAAATCCTTTTCATTCTCCTCAACTGTGTGTAGGTGTTGCTGGGTTGGCCGTGACGTACGGACTCAGTTTAAACATGTTGCAAGCAACGGTTGTTCGAATTCTTTGTTTTATGGAAAACAAAATCATATCCGTCGAAAGAATATTGCAGTATACTTGTATTCCAGCCGAGCCGCCTCTAGTTGTAAATGAAAATAGGCTAGAGAATGTCTGGCCACTACACGGACAAGTTGATATTCATGAACTTCAGGTGATTTTTTTCCTGCTTTCATCAATAATAGTTTTTTTTTTTT